GATTCTTAAAGAAATCCAACAAAAGGAACAACAACAACAATAGCTTTCTTTTCAGTAGTCACAGAGCGAGCATCCTTGTGGCCAGATCAAAATCTCAGGTACTGTCTTCTTTTTAAGTTTTGGATAATAGAACAAATGAGAAAATCTGTATGGAATTATCCCTCAAACTCAATCTAGCATTTTGTAGCTTCTGTTTTCATCTGCCTTTGTAAGTGAAGAAAGCTCACTGTATGTGTGCTAGGGAAAAAAAAAATGAACTGTGAAAGAAAATCTCATAGAAGACCACCCTCATTCAGAAAGACAGATACTAGTTACCCATTAGAACAGCCACCCTTTCCTCCTGTGTTTACCAACTCAGAAAATGCAAGCTACATTTATGATACGCATCTGTTTTGCAGCTGAACAGGAAAGTCAGATAAAATGGAGTCAATATTAAAACAACCTACAACCGATTCCTTAGGTAAGTAATTTTTTTAAAGACATACATTCTTTAATCTAAAAAAAACATGAATGGAAATTATACCTAGCTGGAAAAAAGTATTTTTTTTAATCATAGGGAAAAATCTTTTCTGGTTCATAAAACAAAAATATGCAGTATGCATACATTCAGCTGTACTTATCATAAATATCTACAAAGTTCACCTAGATTTTGAAGAAAAAGGATTAATGTTCTCCCTGGGAAGTACATAAGAGCTATCTAATTTCTGAAATGATGGTAAAGAATATTATATAAATGATTTAAAATATACTTTGATTGCTTGCTTATAATGAATCTTTTTGTCATAATACTTAGGATAACTAAGAAATACATGAATCAGTAGTTTCTAAAAATGAAGACTAACATGTCATATAATTAAATCTACTGCAAACTAAAATATTAGCAAGTACCAAGTACTTCAAACTTCACTTACATAATTCTTTAGTCTCCACCCTCAAGAAAACAGATCTAATTTGGTAGCAAACATTTAAAGTATTCAAGCTTGCCTACTTGTAATAATACAGAAACTAGGCTACTGTATAACTGAACTGCCTTTGTCATTCTCCACATGGAAAAGAATGAAAGAATGCTAGGTTGATGATAGAGTATTCAAAGCAAGGGGACATTGTGAGGATCACAAGGAATTCTGAGCACCTATTTTGATGGTCCATATCTGGAATGTGTCTTTGTTGTGGAACATAGCATATGCTTGGTCAATAATGGAAAATGCATTCCTCCATGCTCCCCAATAGTTCCAAACTAATTTATTTATTTATTTATTGTTAAAATTATTTTTAGTCCTTCGGGTGGTAACTGTAAGTATATCATCTATGTATAATTTTAATTGGTGTTCTCAGACTACAATTAACCTTTTTCAAAGTCATAAAAAAGAAAATCCATTTTAAATTATCAAAATCTTTCTCTGAATCCAGAAAAAGACATAAGTCAGTTTCTTATTTGTTTCTTATTTGCCTGATTTATATTATCAATAACATTGCAAAATGTATCAGATATTATACCTCATGTAACACTTGGGAACAAATCGAATCTGATCAGGATAGATTATTCGATGGTTAGAAAACCATTTAGTTTCTTTGCAAGTATTTCCATAAAAAAACTAGAGTTTTACATTCAATAACAAAATTGGTCTATAGAATTCCTCTAGAGCTGGATCACTTCCTAAAAGCATCCTGCCATGAAGAAGAGAGTATCTGATATTGTTAAATCTCATTTATTACCTAACTTAATAGTTTGATCAAAGTTTGCTGGAACATATTCTAGTATGTTCCAGAAGAAACAGCTTGCCCTAGGGATTTAATTTCAATTTCTGTATCATTTGTTTCATCCTCTGTCAAGTTGGTTTATTAAGAGTTTCCTTTTGTTGACCTGTAAATTTTATGAACTGTACTGTGTTTAAGTATTCTTTAATTTATTCCAGATTCGATATATGTTTGCTTTTAATGTCATTTTGGCTACAAAGAATGTGTGTTAATTCCCAAATCTTGATTCATTAGCCATTAATGCAGGATCATTAAGGTGTTTGGAGGTTTTTAGTGTATATTTCTATCCACCAAATACCCAATATTCTCCTAAAGGATTATAAAATTATTTCAACATTTAAAAAATAATTTTAAAAAGTTTCACAAAGATAAAGCAATGTGCAATTGATAAATAATACAAACATATTATATCTGGTATTTCAGATGAGAATGTGCTCTTAAAATCAAGATTAATATAAAACCTTAGAAAATTACATAGAAGAAATAAATCATACCAGAAGTCCCTATTCAAATCTATTTGGAACCGGTGTATAAGTTATGTTCAGAAACAATGAACCCCAAAATCATCTAGCTTAAGCTTCCTCAGTTTCTTTCATTTCTGTCTTCTAGGTAGTATTCTCTCAGCTTATCTTATCTGGATCGGTTTCTTAGTGTTGGCTCCAGTGATTGTGTTTGGATGCAGCCAATGTTGTAAGAAACATAAAGGTATAGTATATCCATGAAATTACCTCCTTCAAATTAATGTTTAAGGAGACAATTTAATTTCCATATTAAAGCTGGTAGTGTGAACTATTGGTGACCAATTAGGTAAGAAAAAAAAAAAAAACTCAAGCAAAAGGATTAAGTTCATCCTTTCAGGAAGGAACCTTCAAACTGGAAATAATAAAGTCTACAGCAGTGATTCTCAAACTTTTTGAAGCTGCCGCCCCCCTAAGGAGCAGAAAATTTTTCAATGCCCCCCTTTGTGAAAATCCTGTAATTTAGGGTATGGGCGGGGGGGAGTTATTGAATTATAAAAGGCAAAAATTTTAAGTAATTTTTTTCAGTAGACTTA